TCTATTATGGTTGGAGCTGCTCCTCCTTTAAGAAGTTTTTAGCCAAATCCAGCACTGGAAGTTCTCCTTTGTCAAATGCTAGAGCTATATCTTTATTATAACTCTCTGTAACATAATTGTTAGTTTTATTATTCTATTTATTATCCTTTACACAGTGGGGTGTAAGTGTGTAACCCTTTATCATCTAATTAGCCCGGTTGTATTTTTTTGTAGTCCCCAAATTTGTTCGCTGTAGTCTTTGCTAAGCGAACTCTGTAAAAGCCAATGTCTCCGTTTGCAATGAACTTTGAGCATCTTACATTCAGAGATGTTTACACAGATACAGTTCTTTCTTTCTAAAGAAAATAAAGTTTTAAGCCTGGTTTAAGTTGGACAAAGCTGGCTTTGGCTGAGCTCCCAGCCTGGCTAGGCTGGTCAAGCTGGTTTTAGCTTGTCATCTCCCAGCCCGACCAGCAAAGACCAGGCTGGAAATGGCTGGAAACCAGCCTGGAAATGGCCAAAACCCCTGTAAAACCAGTCTGGTCAACCAGCTAAAACCAGCCAACCAGCCTAGGTTAGTTTAAGCTGGATTTTTCAGCAGGGTGGCCTTTCACAGTCTTAGTATACTTGAAGCCAACGTGTTAGACAGAGCTATAAGAACACCGTATAGCGTGCCACGCTGCTCTGTCTAACGTGTTTTAGTCCATTACTATCCTGCACAGTGGCTTGTGGTGTTATGGATTTAAAGTAATCTACTAGAGATAATAACAGGAACTCTGCTTGAATAATTCAAAACATTACAATTTATTAGTCAGGTAAATGTGTATTATGCCAATTCATTCAGTCAACTCATAAACGATCACAAGACATCAAATTATCAAAGACAAATCTGAGATTAAAAGATGCATACCTGACTTCAAAATATACATAGCATAGAGCGTGGAGCTTGAGATAATATTGAGAAACTTTACCTTAAGTAGTCAATCCAAGAATCTCCTTGAGGAAAGGGTTGTGTTGAATAACAAAAGGCATTTGCATTTAGTGAAAGAGTTTCTGCCTATAGGAAAGGCACACCCTTCGCAGTGGTTCAACAGATACCTGAAGTTATATATCTATTGTTTTGATTATGTCTATTTCTGAGGGAATGAGACCATTGTACCAGACGCACTGAGACGTTTCAAATGATATCAAACATGATAAAGTGACTTGGATTAATATGGAGCATTCATATTTTGAAATGACCGTTCTGTTTGAGTAGAGTGTAAAACTGCTGAATGACCAAGAGGGGTTTGGGGAGATGTTTCAAATGCAAATGGAGGAAAGGAGGGGAGCTGGTTTTCCTGCATTCTCACCTGTTGAGTTGTGGAGCCGATTGTCTCTGTGTTTTCAGCTCATATTTGAATTGTCAAAGACATCAAAGTATTTGTGGTATCTCAAGTCTTACAGATTATTTGGCTTGTCTTAAGGAAAAACTCACTTCATTTTAACTTTTTATTTCTGAAAACAAAACAATATTTTTTTATTTGTCTAAGAAATCTTTCTTGATTGATTTTTATTTATTTATTTATTTTTAGATATTTGGACTAAAAACAAGACAAATCTCTCAGTAACAAAGGCATTTTGAGCAGTGTAAATACATGAAAAATCTGCATATTTCTACAGGCAGAGAATCTCTGTTGCCATGAAGTTAGCTAGCATTTTTTTTTCAATGTTCAACAACTTCAGAAAGCATCTCTCACCAGGGACACTCATAAGAGCCCAAACTTTTGCTTTTCTAACGGTATATTTACCACTTTCAGTCTATGGGACTGACTATTTGCACTGCAAGTAATGAAATCGAATGCATTTGTTCAGACAGTCAATGTAATCCATATGGTGCACCTACACTGGTTGCCATAGCAATGTAAGATTCAGCCTGATGCCAAAAGAGGAAAGAGCAATAAAATGCTTTTCTGTCTAAAGTTTGGTCTCGTTTATAGTCCAAATATTGAGAAATTCTCAAATCAAGACAAGTAAAAAATATTGGTTAGTTTTCAGAAAAGGGGTGACACGGTGGCTATCACTGTCATCCTTCTTATCCGAACATGCAGCTCAACTCCTTGTTCAAGCTCTTGTTCTCTCCAAACTGGATTACTGCAACTCTCTACTAGCTAGGCTTCCAGCTAACTCTATCAAGCCTCTTCAACTGCTCCAGAACGCAGCAGCACAAGTGGTCTTCAATGAACCTAAACGAGCACATGTCACTCCGCTGCTAGTCCGTTTGCACTGGCTGCCAGTTGCTGCTCGCATCAAATTCAAAGCTCTGATGTTTGCCTACAAAGTGACTTCTGGCCTTGCTCCTTCTTATCTGCTCTCACTTCTGCAGATCTATGTGCCCTCCAGAAACTTGCGTTCTGTGAATGAACGTCGCCTCGTGGTTCCATCCCAAAGAGGGAAAAAATCACTTTCGCGAACGCTCACGCTCAATCTGCCAAGTTGGTGGAATGAACTGCATCAGAACAGCAGAGTCACTCGCTACTTTCAAGAAACGACTAAAAACTCAACTATTTACTCTCCACTACACTTCCTAATCTGCAATTGCCTCTCAGAATATCACACTAACTGTACAAAAAAAAAAAAAAAAAAAAAAAAAAAAAAAAAAATATATATATATTATATATATATATATATATATATATATATATATATATATATATATATATATATACTAATACTACTAATACTTCCCTTCTTAGACTTTACAGATCTGAAACTTGCCTATAGCACTTATTCATTGTTGCTCTTAGTTGTGAAAATTGCTTCCTTGTCCTCATTTGTAAGTCGCTTTGGATAAAAGCGTCTGCTAAATGACTAATGACTAAATGTAAAATGTAAAATGTAAATCTCAAACCAAGAAGGTCACTGGTTTGAGTCCTGGACGGGCCGGTTGGCATTTCTGTGTGGAGCTTGCATGTTCTCCCAGTGTTTCTTTCCTCTGGGTGCTCCGGTTTCCCCCCAATCCAAACACATGTGTTATAGGTGAATTGGGTAAACTAAATTGGCCAGCGTATGATTTGATTTTTTTTTTCAAACAGAAATATCATACATAAAAATCTCAAAAAAAAAAAAATAATAATAATTAGTGTGAATGAGTATGTTGGATGTTTCCTAGTACTGGGTTGCAGCTGGAAGGGCATCCACTGTGTAAAACATACTGTATGCTGGATAAGTTGAAATATTAAATAATAAGAAAAATACTTTACTTTATAATTTCAAACCAAAAACAATATTTTTTTTAACTTGCCCCACTGGTATATACACTGTAAAAATATCCTGCCGACTTTCTAGTCATCTCAATTTACAGTATATAAATCAAACTGACTAAAAATATTAAGTTAAACTTTGAATAACTTTGAATAAATGTAGTCAGAACCTGCTTAGCGTATTAAAATATGTTTAAGACATCACACGTAGATATTGCTTGAAGCTATTAGCACAGTGACATGCTGTCCTGGGAGAGAACCCTGAGCTCAGAGAGAATTGAGCCCAAGGCACCCGACGGTCAACTAGCATTTAAGGGGGTACGAGATCAGGTAGGTCTTGAGAGCTCCCCCTAGTAAAGGAGGAAAAGGAGGAGATGGGGTGGATGGGGGATTCTTCCAAAACCAGGATAATGCAGTAGGTTGAAATCTGTGGATTTATTGTAGGCTTGAATCAATCTGATTGGATTATCACTGATTACGGATGAGAGATCAATCATAGCACGTGCTCCTCTGGAAATCAGTTTGTAAAACTTCACTTCATTTTGGCTTTTTTTTTCTAAAAAACAAGCAATATTTTTTACTTGTCTTGATTAAAGAATTGTTCAATATTTGAACCAGAAACGTTTTTTTTTTTTGTTCATGTTGTTACAGTCATTTTCTTTCATTCCTTCATTTATTTTCTTCCAATATTCTGGGGTCGGGTAGTGGGGGCAGTAGTCTTAGGAGAGAACCCCAGACTTCTCTCTCCCCAGACACTTCCTCCAGCTCCTCCGGAGGATCCCGAGGTGTTCCCAGGCCAGACGAGAGACATAGTCCCCTCCAGCATGTCCTATGTCTTTACCGAGGCTTCCTCCAGGTGGGACATGCCTGGAACACCTCCCTATGTAGGCATCCAGGAGGCATCCGAAACAGATGCCTGAGCCACCTCAGCTGACTTCTCTCGATGTGGAGGAGCAGCGGCTCTACACAGAGCTCCTCACCCTATCTATAAGGGTGGACCCTGCCTTTTTTATTGTCTAGAAATGCTTCTTCGCTTAAACATGTATTATATTTAAACCAGAAACAAGACAAAAACTTTTAAAAAAGAAGATTTCTTTGCAGCTTGTGATCATCTTTGCCATATGCACATCTATATTGTATATACAGTTGAAGCCAAAATGATTAGCCCTCCTGCTAATTTTCTTTTCTTTTTCAAATGTTTCCTCGATATTTGAGCATGGAATTTTTTCACAGTAAATCTGATACTATTTTTCCTTCTGGAGAAAGTCTTATTTGTTTTAATTCAGCTAGAATAAAAGCAGTTTTAAATTTTTTTTAAATTATTTTAAGGTCAAAATGATTAGCCCCTTTAAGCTATATATTTTTTTCGATATTCTACAGAACAAATTATCTTTATACAATAACTTGCTTAATTGCCCTAAAGTTAACCTTAATAACCTAGTTAAGCCTTTAAATATCACTTTAAGCTAAATACTCCTATCATGAAAAATATCTAGTCAAGTATTATTTAGTGTCATCATGGAAAAGATAAAAGAATCAGTTATTAGAGATGACTTATTAAAACTATTATATTTAGAAATGTGTTGAAAAAAAAAAAAGTTCAACCAAAATACAGGGTGGCTAAAAATTTTGACTTATACAACTGTATACTGTGTCTGAACACACTTTTCACTGTTAAGACTGCAAACAAGTGAACACTTTTGAGTCGGATAAACCATATAATTGGATTTTGGCTTTGCTTTGGGACTGTGTGGATTGTTTCCGTTTCTCCACTCCTACCTTGTTTAACAAAATCACAGCCTCCTGGTTCAGCCCAGTTATGTTGAATGTGTCTCCAGACTCTCCGTCCACGATCATGAAGTCCATCCGTGCGTTTTCACCCAGGTCTGCATCTGTGGCTGAAAGACGACCGATCTCCACCCCGGGGACGGCCAATTCAGACACTGAAAATGACCACATACCTGTGCAAGATGGAGATGGAAAAAGTTTAGTAAAGAATGAGACAAAAACATGGAAAGATTTGTTTGTTTAATGCCACATCACTAGCTGTTTCATGGGGAGATCAATTAAAGCAAAAACTGTTTACATAATAATACACTGTGACTGCAAATTAATAATTTTATCATGAGTTTTAGTCATGTTTCTAGTCTAAATATCTGACAATTACTTTTTTTTTTTTTACAATTAAATTGTTTTGTTTTAAGAAGTATAAAGTTAAAATGAAGAGTGTTTTCCATAAAACAAGCTGAATGATCTGCCAGTGGGCTTGGTAAAATAGATTCATTCATTAATTTTCTTGTCGGCTAAGTCCCTTTATTAATCCAGGGTCGCCACAGCAGAATGAACCATCAACTTATCCAGCAAGTTTTTACGCAGCGGATGCCCTTCCAGCCGCAACCCATCTCTGGGAAATAAAATACATTTATTTCAAACTGAAAAAAAAGTAAAGTATTTTACTTACCCCACTGGCACATAATTTTGATTGTTTTTTTTTTTTTTGACAAAGACTCCTTATTTTAATTTATTACTTCTCTGTATTTTTACTTGTCTAGAAAATGTTTCTTGATTTAAGAATTTTTAGATGACTGGACTAGAAACAAGACAAAAAAAGACAAAAACAAAAGTAAGAGTGCAGAGCAAAATAAGTAGGAATGCCCTTTTCGCATTGTAACAACTTATGAAAAATTAACAATGTAACAAAGATGAAACAAAAAAAAGAAAGAAAAAAAGAAAGACAGAAAAAAGAAAAAAAGAAAAAAGAAAGAAAAAAAGAAAGACAGAAAAAAGAAAAAAAGAAAAAAGAAAGAAAAAAGAAAGAAAGATGAACAGATGGATAGATGAATGAACAAAGAAAGAAAGGGATAGATAAATTAATGACTGATGCATGGATGGATGGATAGATGGATGGTTGGACGGACAGATGAATGAACAAACAACAGAAAGAAAGAAAGAAAGAAAGAAAGAAAGAAAGAAAGAAAGAAAGAAAGGGATAGACATAAAGAAATGGATGGATGAGTGGATGCATAGATAGATGGACAGGTGGATGAACGAATAGACAAAAATAAAGGGATGGACAGACGGATGGATGGATTGTTAAATAGATGGATGAATGGATGGAAGGACAAAGAAAGAAAGGGATGAATAGATGGATGGACGGACAGAAATAAAAGGATGGATGGATGAATGGATGGACGGATAGATGGACAGATGAATAGATGGATGGATGGACAGACGGAAGGAAGGACAATTAAATAAAGAAAGAAATGAGCGATAGATAAACAGGAAGGGATGGATGGATAAATGAATGATTGAATGGACGAATGGACAGAAATAAAGGGATGGATGATAAATAGATGGACAGATTGATGGATAGATGGATGGGTGATGGATGGATGAACAGGCGGACAATGAAAAAAGGGATGAACGGATGGACGAACAGGCTGATTGACGAAAAAAGAAAGAGATGGATGAGAAAAGAGAAAATAAAATATCAATAAACAGAAAAAAAAGATCAATAGACAGAAGGAAAGATCAATGGACAGAAAGAAAGAGGGATGGTTAGATGGACGAATGAATGGACTGAAATAAAGGGATGGATGGATGAGGGATGAACAGATGGATGGATAAATAGATGGACAGATGAATGAATGGATGGATGGACAGATAAATGGATGAATGGATGGATGGATGAATGGATAGATAGACAGATGAAAAGAAAAAGAAAGAAAGAAAGAAAGAAAGAAAGAAAAAAAGAAAAAAGAAAGAAAGAAAAAAGAAAGAAAGAAAGAAAAGATGGATGGATGGATAAATAGATGGACAGATTGATGGATAGATGGATGGATGAACGAACGGACAAAGAAAAAAGAGATGGATGGATTGATGGATAGATGGACGAACAGACAGACTGACGAAAAAGAAAGAAAAAAAGGAAAGATGAATGGACAGAAAGAAAGAGATGAATGGATGGTTAAATTGACAAACGAATGGACAGAAAAAAAAGAGATGGATGGATGGATATGGGATGAACAGATGGATAAATGGATGGATGAACAGATGAATGGATAGAAAGATGGACGAATGGATGGATGGACAGATGAATGGATAGAAAGATGGACGAATGGATGGATGGACAGATGAATGGATGGATGAAAGGAAGGAAGGAAATAATAACTGAAATTCTTCCTGGGGATACATTATTAAAAACATCCATCAAAATGCTCAGAGTATAGAAATCTTGTCTAGTTGTCGAGGAAATTCTAATGAAATAGGAAAAGAGGCTTGACAAGAACATAAAATCATGTCATCATACAGACCCTTTACATCCACAAAACTGTCTGTTTTATTCAATCTGACCTCTGGCCTAATCTAGACCCTCTTATTAAGACCCAGCCAATGAGGTCTTGCTTTGCCTTTTGTTCGCACAGGCAGTTTTTCTGCAGTTATAAGACAGTTTAATAACCGACTTCTCTTTGTGTGCAGGCCAAAAATAAAACGAGAAAACCTGCCCGAGTCTGTTTAAACCTAATTAGAGACAGCAAATAACGCAGGCAATCTACTGCATTCCATGAGAGAATTGAAAAGTGTTTCTCATCTCACATCACATCTCACACCGTGATCAATCACAATAACAAAAACACAAAATTTGTTACCAAAGAGTTCCCAGTCGTTCAGAGTTAACTTTTATGTGCTTGGTGGGGTGATTTGGGTGATTTGTTTGCTGGATCGTGACAAAGAGTGATGTTCTGGTCACTAAATGTGATTTGGGCACTGCTGCAATGTAAGTTTATGATTTTTCTCATATAACTGCGAGGCACAAGTCACACATTAGCCATCTTAGTAAAGTACCAGTGAACATCTTCTCTAAAAGACATGCGAGTTCAATGATAATTCATGGTAGCAAAAAAAAAGAGAAAAAAAAGGAAAGAAAGATGGACAGACAGGTGGAAAAAAAGGAATAAAGTAAGAGACATAAGGAAAAAAGAAAGGTATGAAAAGAAAGAAAGATAGATGAAGAGATGGGAATAAGGATGGCTGACGGATGCATGGATGGATCAACAGAAGGATGGAAGAAAGAAAGAAAGAAAGAAAGAAAGAAAGAAAGAAAGAAAGAAAGAAAGAAAGAAAGAAAGAAAGAAAGGAGAATACATCAACATCTGGATGGATGAACAGATGGTAAAAAAAAGAGATAGATGGATGGATGGATGGATGGATGGATGGATGGATGGATGGATGGATGGAGAGAAAAAAGAAGAGAATGGATGGATAGATGGATAGATTGACAAAATGAAATGGATGAATGAATTGATGGATGAACAGAAATAAAGAAAGATAGAAGAATAGATAGATGGATGGATGCATTGGATGGACAGACAGATAGATAAAAAATTAAATAGAAAAAAAGAAAAAAGCAAACAAACAAATAAACAAAGAAAGGGGTGGTTTGATGAACGAATAGACAGAAAAAAGGATAGATCGGGGGATGGATAGATAAACAGAAAGAAAGAAATGAATGAATGAATGGACAGATGGATATATGGACAGATGGACAAAAAGAAAGAAAGGGATGAATTGATGAATAGACAAAAAAAGGAAGGGATAGACTGAAAAAAGGGATGGATAGATGAATGAATGGTTGAATGGATAGATGGACGAGTGGACAGAAAAAAAGGGATGGATGGACAGACGGACGAATGGATGTACAGAAAGAGAGGAATGGCTGAAAGAAAGAGAGAAAAAGGATGGATGGATGGACAGAAATAAAAGGGATGGATGAATAGATGGATGGATGGACGTGTGGACAGAAAGAAAGGGGTGGATGAATAAATGAATGGATGGACAAAAAAGAAAGAAAAGGATAGATTAATGGATGGAGGGATGGAAAGAAAGTACGGGATGAATGGTTGAATGGATGGACGAGAGGACAAAGAAAGGGATGGATGGATGGATGGAAGGAAGGTTGAATAGATGAACAGACAGAAGGAAAGAGATGGATGGACTTATGGATGATGGATGGATGGAAGGATGGATGGATGGACAAAGAAAAAAGGAATAGATGGACGGACAGAAAGAACGAACAGAAAGAAAAAAATGGATGGATAAATGGACAAAAAAGAATGAAAGGGATGGATTGATGATAGAGGTATGGACAGAAAGAATAGGATGGATGGATTGATGGACAAAGAAAGAAAAAGAAAAAGAGAGAAAGAAATAATTAAGGGTGAATGAATGGATGGATGGAAGCATGAATAGATGGATGGACAGAGAAAAAGATGGATGGATAGATAGATGAACAGACAGAAAAAAGATGGATGGATGGATGGATGGATGGATGGATGGATGGATGGATGGATGAATGGATGGATGGATGGATGAATGGATGGATGAATGGATCGACAGACAGAAAGAAAGAGATGGATGGATGGACAGAAAGAAGAGGACAGATGGATGGATAGATTGAAAGATGGGCAAAAGTAAGAAGGCTAGAAAGAAATATAGATGAACAGGTGGGAAGATGGATGAATGGACAGAGAGAAAAAAATGGATGGATGGATGGATGGACAAAGAAAAAAGGAATAGATGGACGTACAGAATGAACGAACAGAAAGAAAAAAATGGATGGATAAATGGACAAAAAAGAATGAAAGGGATGGATTGATGATAGAGGTATGGACAGAAAGAATAGGATAGATGGATGGATGGATGGATGGATGGACAAAGAAAGAAAAAGAAAAAGAGAGAAAGAAATAATTAAGGGTGAATGAATGGATGGATGGAAGCATGAATAGATGGATGGACAGAGAAAAAGATGGATGGATAGATAGATGAACAGACAGAAAAAAGATGGATGGATGGATGGATGGATGGATGGATGGATGGATGAATGGATGGATGAATGGATCGACAGACAGAAAGAAAGAGATGGATGGATGGACAGAAAGAAGAGGACAGATGGATGGATAGA